TTTTTTGCATTCATAAAAATCTGTTTATTGTGATTGTGTGCCCCAATCAAGCAACCTGGTGGCAATTAGCTCTTGCCCCTCACGCTGCTTGCCTCCCCCCTCGCTCGCTGCTTGCCCCCCTTCACTCGCTGCTTGCCCCGTTCGCAGCAATCGTGTGGCATATTTCGTGGTAGCAATTATTTTCGCATTTGTTGGCCACTTGCACCACGAAATGCTAATGCGAATGCGAATGCGGGCTTTGGCCTGGCATACACACTCCACTGTGGCTGAGAACGTGCAGAACGAGGCTTATTAGTGCAATAACTTTGGACAATAAAACGCAGTCGTCGAGCAGTGAACTTCAAAGGATCTCAAAAGTGTTAAACTGACATGCGAAAGATGTGCCAGCAGAAGCAGCAGCAGCAGCAGCAGCAGAGGGGCAGAGCAGGCAGAGGGACAGAGGCAAACAGACAGGCGCTGTGGCAGTGGCAGCAACAGCGTGGAGTGGAGTGCCAAAGGTGCAGAGCCCATAATTCTACAGACTGCTGCTGCGGCTGCTGCTGATGACGGACGAACCTTGCACAGATCGAGCACAGATCGAGGCAGTGCCTTTGCCAGTCAGTTTAGCGTCATTTCTTTCTGCATCAAGCTGCACACCCCCGCCCCGCCCCGCCCCCCATCTCTTGCCACATGCGCCCCCATATCTGACACTTGCAATGAAGACATTAGCCGCTAATGGAATTGTTATTAAAGCCGCAGAAGCGCGCCTCCATCAGGGGCAGCAGCAGCAGCAGCAGCGGGGCGGAATGAATGTCTGGGAGAGCTTTAATTTCATTTTGAATTTCGTCAGGGATTAGGATGCACAATCCCCCAATCCCCCCCAGCCGTCTCTGTGTGCAGTAATCACTTTATTGTGCGCTTGATATATTGACAAATTATAAAAACATAAGGGACTATCGTGGGGCACTCTCTCTCTCTCTCTCTCTGCGTAGATCTACAAGTGAATTGAGCCTTAGCACGCATTCCCCCAAATCACTTATTTTGCAATCAGAGAATTGGCCCTCTGACAGGGCAGCGTTCTAGAGGCTAGACCCTTCCCGGCCCCACTGCTTTCAGCATTTGTGATGGGAGAGGCGAAAAATGTGTAGGGAACAATGCACGCTGCGGGATCTGGCTGGCTTGTGGCTTAAAGCCACTTAAATGGCTTTAAAAATAAACCCAAACCCCGGACCGGCCCCTTTCCCGCTCATCGTGCCACGAAAATTAAAGCTTTTCACTTTCCGTCGTCGAAGTTGGAGTTGTCTTCGAGGCCTGTTGTCTCGTGTGTACACACCCCAAAAAATGTGCGTAGCCCCCCAAATGAATGCCTAGGACATCATCGATGGAGCCACAGTGCCAAACAACCCATAATCATAATCAACATCATGATGATCGTTCGGTTCAGTCTCCTCTTTGGGCACATTCATGGCACAGCCACAGCCAGGTGGCTTCTTCTTGGCTGTTATTTGTATTCGCTGTAATGTGAATTGACTGCTACTAATAATAACCACGAGCGTTTACTCGTAGATGCCCTTCTTCCTTCCTTCCTTGCTTCCTTCCTTCCTTTCCTTCCAAGGATCTGCAGTCTGCGCCCTGCGTTTGTGTCTCTGGTTGCATCTGTGTGCTGCGTTCCCCACCGAGATGTGACCGAAAAAGGCTAAGAGGCAAAGGGCTACAGAATGTGTGATGCTAATAATGGAATACCCTGGAAACTTTATAAAAAATGGAAAATATCATACAAAATTCATGAAAATAATGCCAAGAAATTACTCTTTGATAATTTTTCAACCATAAGTGCCAGCAAAAATCTCCAATTACTCTACACAAAATACTCAAATTTTTGTGAAAAGTTATTCGAAAAATATTATATTAATACCGTAAAAACTCTAAAAAATATTCCAAGCCTCCAAATACAAATATATAAATATACGGATATATATAAATAATATAAAAAATAGAATGTAAAAAAATTTCAATATACATATATAAAATATACTCGAAACCTCCAAACCCCCAAAACACTTAAAAAAGCTATACAATTTTTCATATACTTTTGATTACTTCAAAAATAATAACTAAAATTAAATAAATGACTCCAAAATAATAGAAAATGCTCTGAAATGTTGTTCCATCTGATATAAATACTTAAAAAACGATGGAAAACAAATTTAAAATAGTCAAACATTTCTTTTAAATAACCCTAGATTTAGTATAAGCTTACGTTTTATTTTTGCCCCTTTTTTAATCCAATCATCCCCTCTGAGAATATTTCCCATTTGAAGGCAGAGTTTCCCATCAAATAAAGTTTTATGGTGCAAAAAAGTCGTCACGCAGCTTTACGTGTGATCCTGTTTCTATATCCTCGAAAATGTGCAGCAAGCGGAATACCCTTATGCCTCGTAGGGTATGGCAAAAAGGCGAAAAACAAATTTCAGCAGCTCTTCTCTTCGCTCCGCTTCATTCGCTTTTGTTGATCTGCTGCAATTGATACGAGAGTCGAACCCGCGACTCGCGACTGGCAAATGGAAATAACTCAACTCTCGAGATTCGCAGCCGCAGCCGCAGCAGCGGACTCCGAGTCCGTGGCACAGACGAAGCTGTGGAGCTGTGGCAGCGGGCACATAATGATAATGACGACAGGCAAAGGGGCAGCGGCAGCTGTAGAAGGGGGCAGCCAGGCAGGCAGGCAACAGGCGGTGGAGGTGTGGTGCAGGCCAGAAATCAGCAACAAATAAATGAGTTCATGCAACGTCTTTGAAATGAAGACAAAGTGGATGTCGGTTGTTGGATGTTGGCTGGTTGTTTGCTGGTTGTTTGCCTGGTTGCCTGGTTGCTGTTTGTTGTTGTTGTTCTCTGCCATACCCATTGCCATTGGGACTGTTGCCAGAGGATGCCTGGATACGGGAGGCAGAGTCTGCCGAGTGTCTAGAACAACAAGGAGGAGGCCACCGCCTCCTATCGGATTGTGGCAGGAGTCAGACACTGGCATTGGCATTGGCATTGGCATTGGGTGCGATGTGTGTTGTTGGCAGTTCAAGAGTTCAGCCCAAAACTTTGCCACCTACTACACGACAGAGAGAGAGAGAGCCAGAGCCTGGGACTCCTCTGCTGCCCCATGCCCCTTCTCATATGTTTATGGGCGTGTCTGGCACTTTTGCTTTCCCGAAAAACAAAAACAAAAAACGCTGCCCAGTCGTGGATGCATGTGGGGTCTACACCACGGGCATGGTTCCCATTCCCCTATCCATTCTCATTCCCACTTCCCAATTAATCACAAATACTGGAATTATTATTTTTATTTTTATTTTCATTTGTATTTTTGTTTTGTTTTGTTTCGTTTCGTTTAAATATTTATTCTCTTGATTTCGTTTCGCTATTACAAACTAGGCTGGATCTTAGGGATCCTAAACTTAGTACTGGGGGGATCCTAACTATGGAAAACATTTTTACAGCATTACGATTATACAATTAGCATCACGCACAAGTGAAACGATAACTAAACTATATACGATATACGATCTATACACACACTATACATACGTACGTGCTACACATGATAACTAGCTTAGGGTTATACTTCGTCTTCGTTTACACTTTTATTTGTGTGTGTTTTTTATACAAGGGATACGCTACCCTCTCCTCACTCTCCAACAATTACTAAAAACAACTTTATACAATTTCCTCCTGCTCCGTCAACATTATATCACCCTCGTTAAACGATATTATAACCTACGAATGGGAAATGGAAAATGCGATTTTATGTATGTATGTGTATGCGTATGTCTTATGGGAGATTGTGTGTGTGTTTGTGTGTGTGGCTGTAAAACTAGTTTAGGTTTAGGTTTTAGGGTTCTACCTACTCGAATGGATTGGGGCTGCTCTTCTTCTGCTTGGTGCTTAATTTCTAGGCTCTAAATGCTTACAACTTATGGCTGGTTCTACCTGCATCGTCTCCTGTCTCCTGTCGCTGCTGTCATCCTCCTGTGTTTGTGTTTGTGTGTGTGTGTGCAAGCAAGTGAGTCTCAGAGAGTCTTTGTTGGCTTTGTGTTTGTCGTTTACTACACTTTAAAGTTAACTATTACATTTATACACTCGGAAATAAATATAAACTGAGGATTAGAAAGTTAACCACAATTAAAGCAATTGTAAATGTTTACTCAACGTAAAGAACAAAATTGCCAGAAAATAAATAAATAAATATATATTTTTCCTGTATAGAATTTCAATATGCAGGCTTAAGGTTTCAGTCTAATGTCATATTTTTGTGTGGAATATAAATAATAGAACTTATAATATTCCTCGCAAGATTTATTTATTAATTAAAACCTTTTTTTGTGCCTGAAAAATAATTTTGAAAAATATATAAAAAAAAAAATATGCACATCATTTAAAGCTTTGTCGAAGAAGGCAGATTATTTTTTTGTAAAGCTTAAAAGAACTTTTTTGATTCGATAATTAATTTGCATAGTAAGTTTTACTTAATAGAACTCAAAAATTTCTAGGATTTGAATTTATTATTAATCCTAACAATTCGTAACTCTTTTTTTAAGTATTGTATTTTTTCTGCAAGATTTATTTATTAATTGAAACCTTTTTATGTGCTTGAAAATAATTTTCGAAAAATATAAAAAAAAAAATACACACAATTTAAAGCAGTGTCGAATAAGGCAGATTTTTTTTTTTTAAAGCTAAGAAGAACTTTTTCGATTCTATAATTTTTTCATTGTAAGCTTTACCTAATAAAAGTGAAGAATTTCTACGATTTAAATTTATTAATATTCCTATTAATTCGTAATTCTTGCTTTAAGTATTGTATTTTTTTCTGTAGCTTTTAAATTTAGCATGTTAAATAAACAAATATTTAAAATATTACGCATAAATTAAAAAAAAATTTAAAATTTAAATAAAAAATTTAAACAGATGCATAAATTTAAAAAAATGTAAAAATTTAAAATTTAAACAGATGCATACATTTTAAAAATTTAAAAATTTAAACAGATGCATAAATTTAAAAATCCCCCAATCTGCTGGAGACTCTGCTTGAAAATCAGTTCTAACTTTTTCCGAGTGTAATTACATCTATCGTATTTATTATGTATATGGGATATCGTGCCTATCTATCATATCAGTATATATACAACATTAATGTGTGTGTGTGTGTGTGTGTGCAAGGGTGAATGTGTCTGTGTGTGTGCGTGGATGGTGGATGGGGTGGTGGGGGTGCAAGTAATACTATGATGCATGCACAGCGCTGCTCAGGACTGGAATCCTTCTCTGCTCCTCCTATCACATCCTTGTGCCCACATTGCCCCGCTGCGTGGGCTGTGGCGGCGGTGCATGGCCATGGCGGGGCAGCGACACGTGTGGCAGGTGGGTGGGCGGACCGCTGCCCAGCGGCGAGATGGAGGGCGAGCGTGTGGCCAGCGGCGAGAGCGATGGCGAGAACGAGGGCGACATGGCCGAGGAGGTGCTGAAGCTGCCGCTGGCCTCGTGCCCAATGGGCGAGCGGGGCAGGCCCCCGGCCATGCTCAAGTGCGGCGGCAGACGCATCGGCAGATTGATGGCGCGTGGCGCCACACTCGTGAGCAGCGGCGGTGGAATGTGGGTGGGCGGTGGCGGCGGTTTCAGCACCACACTGCCCGCCCCCGCCGACGAGTGCGAGGAGGAGTGCTTGCTCTTGGCGGACGAGGAGGCGCCACTGCCGCTGTGGCCACTGTGGCCGCTGTGCTCCGACATGGTGTCGTCCTTGAGCCGCGCTATCTCCGAGAAGACGTGCGCCAGCGGCTGGTACTGCGGCCCCCAATCGAGCAGATAGTCCCAGTTGTAGCTGCCCGTCAGCTCCTCCTCGCTGTGCACAATCGAGCTGAGGGATCCGCCCACATTGCTGCCGCCCACCACAACGGGCACGGGCACCGGCACCTCGCCGTAGCTGCCCATCATGGCCGTGCCGTGGCCGTGGCCGGTGATGGGCCCCGTGCCCATGGTGCCAATGCTGCCCGCCGTCGTTGCCGCATCATCGGCACTGCTGCCACGTTCGGAGCCGCTGCCGCCGCCGCCGCCGACGCCGCCTCCATTGCCGCCGGCGACGTCGTTGAGCTTCGCGTAGATGAGATTCGTGATGTCCGAGCGGGCGGTGGCCGCATCCTCGTCGTGGAACATGTGCAGCGAGTCCACCATGGGCATGGTCATGGGCATTGGCATCGGCATGGGGTGGCTGCTGCCGGCCATGCTGGAGGCGCCACCGCCGCCGCCGCCACTGCCGCTCGGATCGTGATCCACGATGCCCAGACGCGCCAGATACTCCTGTGTATTCTGCACGGAGATGTCCGAGATGCGACCGTCATCGCTGCCACCCGCACCACCGCCGCCACCGCCGCCGCCGCCGCCGCGCTGATGCAGCGGTCCCTCGTTGATCATGCGAATCTCCTCGTCCTCGCCATCATCCTCGGCCGAGCCGCGGCCACTGGAGCCCGACTGCTCGGAGCCGGATAGCTCCGAGGTGGTGGCCGCACCGGAACTGCCCGCATGCGGGCCAAAGGGCGGTATCTCGTCGTATTTCGGCGGCGCAAACTGTCCGGAGGCGCCTCCAGCCGCACCGCCGGAGATGCCGCCCCGTATGGGTATCGTGTCGAAGGCGCTGGGATCCACGTAGCTGTTGGAATTGCCCACGCCCACCGTCTCCGTGCTGAGGTGGGGCTTGACGACATTCCGCGGCTTGCGGCTGCGCATGTGCACAAAGAGGAAGATGCCAGCGGCGGCGCAGAGCACCAGCAGGAAGGCGATCAGCAAGCCAATGGCCCAGTCGCCCATGGTGCCGCCGCCGCCGCCAGAGCCGCCGCCAGAGCCGCCGCCATTGATGCCCGAACTGGCCAGATTCGTGCCCGGATGTGCCAGCGGATCCAGGGCAATCTCCACCACGGCCATGGCCGTCAGCGAGTTCTGTCGGCCCGAGGACGCGGATATCACGAGGCTGATGTCGCGCCCGTCGTGTGCGCCCAGACTGGCGGCGTCGTCGTCGAGCTTCAGCTTGCGCTTGACCAGCACCGCGCCACTGCTGCGATTCACCTTGAAGTGGGTGTGCGGCGCACTCAGCTGGTAGACGACACGTCCGTCGGGTCCACTGTCCGCATCCGTGGCCGTGACCTGCCCCACCACGAAGCCTTGCGGCAAAGCGGCCGCGGCGGGCAGCACAAAGCGGTACGTGCGCTCCGAGAACTGCGGCGCAAACTCATCCCGCGACTCGATCTCGACGCGCACGGCGACGCGTGCCGCCTTGCCGCCCATGTCGCTGGCCCGCAGCTCCATGTCGTAGCGCTGACGCTGCTCATAATCGAAGACAGCCGTCGCGGTGACCAGGCCCGACTGCGAATCCACGCGGAACAGCTTCCAGGAGCTGTCATCGCCGGCAGCGGCGGCCAGGCTGTAGTTGAGGGCGCCAAAGGGACCGCGGTCCAGGTCGCTGGCATGCGCCCGGAACACGCTGCTGCCCAGCGGCTCGTTCTCCGCGACGAAGTGAACGTACTCCGAGAGCGGGAACCTGGGCGCGTTGTCGTTCTCGTCGTGCAGCGCCAGGTGGAAGGGCTGCAGGCTGCAGAGCGGACGCGGATGGTGGCTGTCGCAGGCGCGTATGATCAGCTCATAGCTGCTGGCGCCGCTGTCGTAGTCCAGGCGATTGTTCACGAACAGCACGCCCGACACCAGATCGATGGTGAACATGTGCTCGTCGTTGCCCGAGGTGATGTCGTAGACCACCTCGGAGTTGGGCGAGTTCTCCTGGTCGGCATCCAGGGCCACCAGCTGGGCAATGGAGTAGCGCAGCGGCGCCAGCTCGCTGATCTCCGCCTCGTACTTGGCGCTGCGATCGAAGATCGGGAAATTGTCATTGGCATCCAGCACAGTGATCACTACGGTGATGCCAGCGCTTGAATTGGCTGGGGCTGTGGCTCCGGCTGTCCCTCTGTTGACCAGCAGACGCAGCCTGTACAGATCGTTGCGCTCGCGATCGAGCGGCTTCACCAGCACAATCGCCTTCGATTGGCGAAGCTCGAAGGCGGCCTCCTCGTTGCCGGCCGCAATGACAAACGCCTGATCCTGCACATCCTGCGCGAGTTGCAGCACCACGGCACCCAGAGGCGCCGCCTCGCTGATCTGTGCGCGATACTGCGTCTGCTGGAACTGTGAACGCGCCGCGCCACTGTCGCTGGCCTGCACTCGGAGCAGCGTTGCCCCAGTCAGCGGAAGTTTGCCGCCATCTCGGGCCAGAATGCGCACAAAGTAATCCCCGCTCGCGGATTCGGGCAGCGGCAGGCGACTCATGTTCACAGACACCACACCACTGGCAGCAGCCACCGAGAATCCCTCGATGGGTGGTTCGATGGAGTACTGTATCCTGGAGTTGCTGCCCTCGGCATCCGCATCCGTGGCATTCACCGAGAGCAGCTCCAGGTCCAGCGACAGACTGTCGGCCACCTCGGCCACGGCGGGCAGAATGGCAAAGTAGGCGGGCGGCTGCTGGGCCAGGAATATCGGCGCATTGTCGTTCTCATCGTTCACGCGGACCGTCAGCGTGGTTCTTGCCTCGTGCGCCGCATCGGAGGCAATCACCTCCAGCTGGTACTCCTGCTGCTGTTCGTAGTCCAGGCGCCGCCGCAGCACCAGCTTCCCGCTGTAGCGATCCAGGGCGAAGAGCGTGAGGCTCTCGTCATCCACCGAGGAGTCACTGACCAGGCGGTACGTCAGCGTGGGATGAGTGTCCACGTCGTTGGCAGAGATGGAAGCTATCACGGCGCCGAGTTCGGTTGCTAAAGCAGCGAAGAAAAGAGATATGGGTAAAGGAAAAAGTGTTAAGTGAGGAATGCAGCAGGGGCATGGGAGTATATACTCGTATCTATGGATTCAGTTCTTTACATACCCTTGCAGCCTGTGAAAATCTTTTAAGTCTATAAAAAAAAACGAGAAGGAACGTGTCAGTCGCTTCGGGGGACGCCACTCTACTTTTATACCCGTACTCATTCAGTATATAAATTTTTGAGCTTTTGATTTATGTAGAAGACGGACGGACAGACGGACGGACAGATATGGCTATATCGAATCAGGGCAATACTCAATACTCTCTTAAAGCTGGACTTCCCTTGGGGCGTACGAATTATTGCACGGGCTTCACATGCGAAAGAAATTGGTGTTCGATTTTTTATATTTTTATATTCCGCGTTCACGTATGCCTGGCTTTAAAAAGATTTTTATTTAAACACTCAATAATACCAAGCAGTTTTCATAATTTAACGAGAAGGAACATGTGAGTGGCTTCTCGGGACGCGACTCTACTTTTAGAGCTTATGATTTATGTAGAATTTTGAGAATAAAAACAAATTTTAAATATATTTATTTAAATATGCAAATCAGCTATTTAAAATTTCCAAAATTTAATCAGCTATCAGCTGTAATTTTTGTTGTAATTTACGGATCTTAATTTGGTATTTTTGGGTTTTTTTTTTTTTAGCTATTTCATATTAAAAATATTCTAATTTTTCGGGTCGCATGTTGTTGGTATTTCAAATTGAGTTTTTTGTTATTTTATAACGATAACTGATCGATAATGGGAAACTTTGATATGGAATTACTTCGGCATTCGAAGAATTTGCTAGAAATGCGCTATGGGAGCGTATAGAATGGGATTGGATAGGACCATAGGGCCTATAGGATAAAGGTATAAGGATAAGTATCCGTGTCTGTTTTCTATAAATAGCTCTTTCTCAATTGGGGAGATTTGCATACAAAAATTCATGAAATTAGCCAGAAAGTCTCTCCAAAAAATACAACTTATAGAACGTTTTAGCTGCAGCTCCTAGGGTATTTAATGCCTCCATTTAGCCCTATATATATCCAGTATTAATAGTTATAGATGGCTAGGACTTACCTTCGCTGACGCTCACTAGGTTATTGGGCGGAAACGTGGGCTGATTGTCGTTGACATCGACGATCTGCACCCGAATGGTGGCGGTGCCCGTCATTTGGGGCACGCCCTCGTCCGTGGCGATGATCTTCAGGCTGTAGACATCACGAATCTCGCGATCGAGGACGATGTTCGTCTTGACGATGCCACTGAAGGCGGGCTCGATGACGAAGGCGTTGTCGTGGTTGCCATCGACGATGTGGTACCGCAGGCGGGCATTGGCGCCCGCATCGGCATCGAAGGCCTGCACCTGGGCCACGAAGGTGCCCTTGCTGTTGCCCTCGGCGACGGTGGCCACGAACTGACGCTGCGAGAACTGCGGACTGTTGTCGTTCTCGTCCTCCAGCTCGACAATGAGCTCCGCGTAGCTGGCCAGGAGGGGCCCATCCGCGCTGCGCGCTGCGATAACGAGGCGCAGTTCATTCGGCTGGGTGCTGGCGAGGGCAAAGGATGTGGCGGCCAGGGCGCGCTGACTGCGTGTGCCATTGCGATCCTCTGCGGCCGCAGAGGGATCCTCTGTCACCAACTGCTCGTAGTGCATGGCCCGGCCGCGACTCAGGGCCGCCAGTGTGGGCGTGGCAAAGCGATCGTAGTCGAGCAGCGCGGGATTGGCCACACGAATCTCGCCCGAGGCGGCGTCCAGCGAGAAGATGCCCTCATCGTTGCCAGCGCCCAAAGGAGAACTGCACCTTCTGGCGGCGTCCATCGCTGCGCACGGCCACCACTTGGAGGAGTCTGCTGCCCGTTGGGGAGTTCTCGCGCAGCTTCACTCTGTAGGTCTCGTTCTGGAAGCGCAGCACGGGCGCACCCGGTGGCGCCTCGCCCACCAGCAGCTCGATCAGTCCGACACTGCTCTGTGGGGGATTTCCCTTGTCCCTGGCGATCACCTCCAGCTGCAGCAGTCGGCCCGATTCGCTGGCCAAGCTCTGGCTGGCACTCAATGCGCCCGTATTGGGATTAATGCGAAACTTGCCTCCAGCCTCCGCTTTGAGCGAGTACAGCAGCTCCCCGTTGAGGCCCTGATCGGCATCGTGGGCCTGCACTTTGAGCAGCGTCTGGCCCGGCTGGATCAGGGCGGGCACCTGGCCGATATAGGGATAACGCTCGAACACCGGATGATTGTCGTTCACATCCAGGACATTGATCTGCACGGGCACACGGGCGGCTCGGACCTCGTAGCGCCCGCCATCGGTGGCCAGCACCATGAAGCTGTAGCTCGACTGAAGCTCGCGATCGAGTTTGCTGTTGGGAGAGGGTGAGGGGAAATGGGAAACGTTTCAATTAGTGGTGGGGCATGGGAGGATGAGCAGACGCCTCTTGCGACGCTAATTAGATATATATTTTCTTATATTTTATTTTTTTATATATATATAATCGTAAGCGCAATCGTAATCGTAATCCTAGCCATAATTAACCACACGAATGGATGTGCAATTGATCCAGCAACAGACAGAGAGAGGGGGTGGGGAGTGGAGGACTCTGTCTGACTGGTAATTAAGTCATTTGTTGGTGGAATGGCAGACGGTGGTGCACACTCCATTCGCATTAGCATTCGCTGGAGTAATCCGTGGCAGGCCCCCATTCTTTGCAGCTATCGCTATCATGCAGCTCCCTCCCCTTCACTGCACTCCACGCTGCACTCTGCACATGGGGCAACATGTTTGCTGCCACAAATAATAAACCAAAATGATTACAATCCTCTCCTCTTCCTTGGATTCGTTTGCAGCAGCCTCTGCCACAGCCACTGCCCTGTCCTGCCCTGTCTCTGCCCTGTCTCTGCCTTTGCCTCTACCCTGCCACTGCCACTGCTCTACCCTGTCCTTCCCTGCCCTGCTGCTCTGTTGCATGTTGGCCAATAAAACGAATTTAGCAAATTACAAGCTCATCCCGTAGCCAAGTCCAAGTCCGAGGCCTAGTCTGGTCTGTGCTCTGGTCTGAGCTCTGGTTGTGGGCCATTTTATGAATTGAATCAGTCAAAGTGAGGGAAAGGCTACAGCTACAGCTCCAAGCTCGAGAGTTGTGCCTTGTCCAATGCCTTGGACCCATGTCCCCTCCATTCCCATTCCCATTCCCAATCCCCCTTGCCCCTTGTGGCTTTGAAACAACAGCAGAAATGCTTTCAAGGGTCAGTCATCAGTCGCTGTTGTTGTCGTCTGCCTCCTCGCTTGCTGATCATCAGACGGACGTAGGGAGCTACGAACAAGCAAAGGAATGGGTCTGGGTCTGGGCCTAGGCTCTTGGCTGCTTGTCCATCGCCAGTCCGTCAGTCAGAGCCAGATCTCTGGCTAGGCGGCCGACAACAAAACCAAAAAAAAAAAAGCAAAAGAAACTACGAGCAACAACCGGACAAGCGGCAGGGCGACAAGGCGGCAAGGCGCATTTTTGTCTTTTACTGTGGCAATACCCTAACGCCCCACAGAGGGTATATGGACTATTATGGCAGCTTGATTTATCGAAATTCCTTTCTAATAATTATTTAAATATTTTATTTACAGGACACACAGTTCGTAGAGCGAAAAGGAATGATCGTGGAGGCACTTATGCCTTGAGAAAAAAAGGTAGGAATGATTTTTTGTATATTTTTGAGCAATTTCTTGCAAGGATTTTGGGCTGCTGCCATCATGGCCATATTTTACTTATTTATTTTACTTATTTTGCTGCCATTTAGGCCTTGAAATTTGTGCTGGAATTTTCGCTGCACATGCAAATTTTTTGGTTAAATATTGCACTATGAGACATCAGCTATTGCCTCCTGTCTAACCCTATTTACTCTCCATTGATGCCAAAGATTTAGCTATGAAACGAATTTTGAACTCATTTCAAGCTGAAATTTGCTTAAATCTCTTCTGAAATCCCTTCTGAAATCCCTTCTGAAATCCCTTCTTGCTGCAGGTCCACACAACCCACAAGTTTTGGTTCAGCGCTGAAGGCTGCGTGGTCCTTTATGGTCTCAAATAAATGACTTTCCGTTTAATTCTACTAAACATGAGATACAAACACGAGCCATTGCTCTGCAGCTGTGTCGCTGTTAGGGTATTTATAGTCTCTAGCATTCCTTTGTGGGTTTCTTTTTGGTTTTTTTGTTTTTTTGTTCGTTGTAGTCCCAGTTCTGCGACCGCGAAAGTCCAAGTCCCAATACCAAATCCAAGTCCAAGTCCAAGACTAACAACAACGTCACGAATTGTCTGTCTGTCCCTCTGTCCCTGTCTGTCTGTCTGTCTGATTGTCTGCTCTACAATTCTGCTCTGTGTGCCATTACCTCTCCATGTGGCAGGCAACCAGGCAGGCTCTCTGTTCATGCCACTGCCATTGCCATTGCCATTGCCACTGCCCCATCCTCTGTCTTTTTTTTTTTTGCGCTCTGTGGTCTGTTCTTAAGTCCAGTCTCACTCCCTCTCGCTCTGTCTCTTGCTGTATTTTTTTTTTTTAGGTTTTTTTTTGTGCATTTTGGTGGCGGGGATTTCGTTTTTATTGTTTGCCGACAATCAGCGAAAGATAAAAATTGGTACATGACAGCGGATCGCGTTTGTATAAATGGCAACACTGACGCTACTGTCATTTCAAGTGCCCCCGCTGCACCATGCCCCATGCCCCATGCCCCATGCCACCCTCTCCCCTCACAGAACTCCCTGCCACTGGCATTGGGGCCCCCATTGGCCGGAACTGCACCAAAAAGAGCTATGTCAGACGGAACAAGCAATTGTTGTCATCATTGATTGTCAATAAGCATAAATCTGCTCCAGAGGGGTCCCAGGTCCCGCTCCAACTCCAAGTAGCAGTCACAAAAAAAACCAACAAAAAAAGGAACGTGGAGAACGCGAAGAACGCGAAGAACGGATACCCATTCAGGTCTGGGGCGACTCAACTCTGAATCCAAATCCGCATCCAAGTCCAGCTCCAACTTCAGCTCCACCTTAAGCTATTTATAGGAATGCGTGCGCTGTCTGTAGGAGAGCAATGGATGGGCTCAAGCGGGGCGCTGGCTGAGGTGGCTGACAGCAGACGAATCCCCGCAACATTGTTGCAGTGTGTCGCAGTGCGTAGGATGCACTGGGCCCAGTGCATTACCATGCTGCATTAGCCCCATTTCGCCGTTCCGTTGCTTGTTCTTGAGGAAATTATGGCAATGTTTTTTTTTTTTTTTTTTTTGAGCTGCTTCGAGCGCGTCCTTGCTGCAGATCAAGGTTTCAGATAAGATCCGAAGCGATACATTGACTCCTCCTCCTACTCCTACTCTCCTACTATTACCACTACTACCACTCCTACTCAAAGGAAACACCACTCCTCTGCTGCCTTTGGGGGGAGCACTCCTCCTCCACTCCCTTGTGGAACCAATTCAGTAAGCCTTAGGCAGCCCCAACCCCACTGCTCATTTGGGTCAAATCTAGGGGAACGAGTGCCCTTTGAATGGTTTTCGATATTTTTGTGCAGTTTTTACTTGTAACTATCAATCTAATATATTTTTTTTTAATTAAGAATTTACTTTATTATTAAATATTTTAAAGCAATTAATTTTTTTTTGAAATGTTTTTACCTATTTGGTAGTTTTTAATTATTATTTAAAAACTACCAAATAAAATAAAATTAATTAAATTAATTAAATAATGATTAAAAACTACCAAAAAAAATAAGAAAGTGCTAAAAACATTTAAAAAAAAATTAAATGCTTTAAAATATTGAATAATAAAGTAAATTCTTAATTTTAATGTTTTATATTTATTATTTTTTTATTTATTTATTTATTATTATATATATATCTAGATCTATATATATAGATATATATATTATTATTTATTATATTATTTATAATTTTTTAAGTATTTTTTTAGTATTCTTTGTCACTTCAGTATTTTTATTACTTTCAAAATATTTCCGAATTTTTGTTTGTTTTTTTTTTTGTAGTTTTTGTATCTCTGTGTATATTTTAGTATTTTCACTCTCTGATTCTTTCTGGCACTGAAGCTACTACTAAAGATAATCCTCCCTGCATCTAGTATTTTGTTTAGTATTTCTAGTATTTCCAACCGCAATATTCAGTCGCACTTGTCATACAAAATCAATGTTCAAAACTCACCCAACGGTCGTAATGAGGCCGCTCTTGCTGTCGATGGCGAACTGCCATTGTGTCTCATTGGCCAACGAATAAACCAGACGCGCATTGACGCCCAGATCCGCATCGGTGGCCTTGATCCGCACGACGCTCGCCCCAATGGGCGCATCTTCCGCGACGCTTGCCACATACTTGGCCAGCTCGAAGCGCGGAGCATTGTCGTTTTGGTCCTCCACCAGAACGGTGATGTTGCAGTGTCCCTGGCGACTGTTGGGCTGACCGCGGTCCGAGGCCTGCACCTGGAGCGTGTAGCGGGAGTGCTGCTCCCGATCGAGCGGGCGACAACTCAGCTCCCCCGAGCGGGCATCGATGCTGAACTTGTTGCCCAGATTGCCGCCTGCAAAGTGGGTGGGAAGGGTTCAAGGGTTTGGCTCTCAAAAGAAGCGCAGTTCCAGCTAGATCTCACCTGTGATGCTGTAGATGATGTCCGCATTGGCGCCCTCGTCCACATCGCTGGCCACCACCGTATGGATGACGCCCGCCTCGCTGTTCTCTGGCACCGAGAGACCGTAGCAAGAGCCCGCACGAAACTCGGGCGCATTGTCGTTGACGTCGCCAATCGTTATGATCACGGTGGCCACATCGAAGTGCTGGCCGCTGTTGCTCTCCGCGGCACCGCTCTCTGAGGATCGCTGCTTGCGCACAGCGGCTGCCGAGGCGGAGGCGGCGGCGCTGGCCAGTCGATTGGCATCACGCACGTAGATGGGCAGGATGTAGCTGCTCTGTGTCTCACGATCGAAGGCTCCGCGCGTGGTCACAATGCCACGCTGCCAGTCCACGTGAAAGCGATCGTCGGCAATGCCCGAGGGAATTTCGTAGCTCAGATTTGCTAAGAGACAAAAGGAGAGCAGAGGCGATGGCAGGTTAGAGCGATTTATAATCGATTAATAATCGATTTATGTAGATTTCTATCGAACTAGATATCGATAGCTTCGATATTTGGGCAGATTAAACTGTTTTCCTTACCATTTTCACCACCATGGAAGGACTTTGCGCTGACCTGCAGCACAAAGCTGCCACTGGGCACATTCTCCAGTATGGTGGCACGATAGACGGCCTGCAGGAAGCGCGGCGGATTGTTGTGGCTGCCCTGGACGAGCAGCTGCAGGCTGAGTGTGCTCCTCTTTGGCTCCGGCAGCCCGTGATCGCTGGCACTGATCAGCAGCGTGAAGCGTCCATTCTTGTCCACATCCTCGGTGGCAGGCGGCAGGGACTTAACTAACTCTATCACACCCGTCGCTGGGCTAATGCGAAAGCGTCCCTCCCCATTGCCGCGCTCAATGTCGTAGGTGAGGCGTCCGTTCTCGCCGGCATCGCGGTCCAGCGCCACAATGTGCGCCACCGTTTCGCCAATGCGCGTGGCATCGCTCAGGTAGATGGAGGCGGCGCTGCCGCCCCTTGTGCCGGGCGACACAAACTCTGGGGCATTGTCGTTGACATCGAGGACGCGCAGGCGCACCGTGACCGACGTTTGCAGGCGTTCGCTGACATTGGAGGACTGATCCAGGGCCTGGACAATCAGCAGGTACTCGGGCACGGCCTCAAAGTCCAGCGGCGCCTGCAGGCTGAGCGAGCCGGTGAGCGAGTCCAGCGCAAAGACGGGCAGCGCCAGCTCCTGGGTCTCGTTCATCAGCGGATAGTAGCGCAGCAGGCGGTACTGCAGCTCCCCGTTGGTGCCCGTGTCCGCATCGCTGGCCGTAAAGTTGTGCACAATGGCGCCCGGGGGCGTCGCTTCGCTCACCCGCACATCGATGGGGTCCTGCGGCCAGTGGGGGGCATTGTCGTTGACATCGGCCACCTCGATCTTGACGGTAATGGCGCTGCTCTGCGGATTGTTGCTGGCCGTTGTGTCCAGGGCGCGTATCTCCAGCCGAAACTCGGACTGCAGCTCGCGATCCAGCAGGCGCGACACCACCAGATTGCCCGTGTGCCGATCAATGTCGAAGGCGCCCTCGATGAGGTCCTTGGTGAGCGGATTCAGTGTGTATGTCACACGCAGCTCATCATCCGACGAATTCGAGTCCTCCACACTGTTGTTGTTGTTGTCGTTGTCGTTGTCCAGCAGCAGCAGCCGCTCGCTGGGCGTTATGGAGCCCACCACATGGCCCACATTGGCGTCCTCTCGTACCTGGCGGAGTGTGTGAGGAGAGTGCGGAGAGTGGGGGGGGCACAATTATAGATTATTTTTGTGGCTTATTAAGAACAGAAAAAAAAACGAAGGAGAAGAAGGAGAACGAATGGCAAGCGGATGAGCGGTCCGGAGAGGCCTGAGAGGATGCTCCATTTGGGTGAGACTTGTTGTTGGTTGGGTCGCTGCAACGCAATGTTGTCCGCAGTATCTTAATCTCAACAACAGTGTTGAAAATCCAATCTTAAAGCAATAATTCATACTTCAAGATTACGAAGGCAGCAAACATTTAAAAATTTCCGCCACATATTCCCCCGCCGCGTCCGCGCTTGACTCCCATGCCAGCAGCAGCAGCAGCAGCAGAGGCAGCGGCAAAGGAAGCAGCCAAAGCAACAGCAAAAAAAAAAGAGCAGAGTGGAGCAGAACAGAACAGAACAGAACCCCAAACAGTCCAGTCCAGTCCAGTCTTGGGTCTTGGGTCTCCAGTTGTCCGTTCCCATTCCACGGCCAGAAACAGAGACAGAGAGACTGAGAGACTGAGAGACAGAGAGAGAGTCACAGCGCAGTTCATGGCAAATGGCATTAAAAAGAAATTATGCATTCCGACCGAACTTGGCGGCCCCGAAAATCACTGAAGAAAAATGTGTGGCATATGCAGGAAGAGCAGCAGCAGCAGCAGGAGGAGGAGCAGCAGCAGGAGGAGTAGGAGCAGCAGCAGCCAGCAGGAGGAGCAGCAGCAGGAGGAGGAGGAGCAGCAGCAGCAACAAGCGGGGCAGTGAGGAGGGGAAAGGAAAGACTCTTTGGCTTGGGTTATTTGCAGCAGAAGAAACTCCGCACAAGAATTTAATATGCAAAACCGCAAAAACCGTTCAGAGGTCTCCAAAAAACCAAAAAAAAAAAAACAAAAACAAGAACATAAGACAAAGGCACAGAACCTGAACGGAGTGACAGATACCCTGGAAATGGGAAATGGGAAGAGTACTCAAAGTACCCTTAAATTAACAGTGTTAAATTAATTGGGAAATATCTGAAGCATTTATTTATTTATTTTATCATTTATTCCCAGCAGCTATTTATTCCCTTTCTTATTCTTTCTGTTGCTGTTTGTGGCTGAAATTTGTATGAAAAATTTAAAAGGTTTAAAGGAGTTTGCTGGCTTTAATTAATGAAATCTTTTAGGCTTGTGTTCAATAGTAGTAGAAGCTAAAAGTGCACATTAATACAGCAAATTAACTTTGTTTAACTATTAATATGAATATATTTAATTCATATTTTTTGAATGATTAAATTAATGAGTTCCTTGGCAAAGTGATCCTTACCAGGAGAGTAATGCTACAGGGAGCAAAGATGCGGAGTTTGTGGGAAACTGTAACCAATTTAGAGACTAATTCACACAGAGTGTAGATGGATATATTACAGTGAAGAAAGGATATAATTAGGCAACGATCCAGGCTTCCTAGGTGCGGTTTGCAGAGAGATATGGATCAACCAATCAAGGGAATCTGCTGCCCGATGCTAGACACATTTTTACACATATGGATAACTAATAATTATAATTATTATTATTAGAAATTATAATTAAGGCAATTTATATGCCTCCCAGTAACCGCAATGCCCTACTTTAGTCAGGGTATAACTCAAAGGGTATATATGTACATATATGAAAAACATAAAAGGTTCTCCACTGTCTGGGGTTTTGTCTTTGGGTTTTTGAGGCCCTCCCCCTCTCTCTCTCCCTCTGTCTGTATATGTGTGTTTGGTAGTATCTTTTTTCATACAAAATCATTGCGAATATTCTTGTTCTTGTATGTTGCTGGTTGCTGGTTGTTGGGTCGCCAAAATGGAGACACAAAAATGACAGTCACGAGATTTATGCCCCGCCAAGATTACGCAGTTGGCTGCCTGCTTCTCAAAGGAGAATGCAGCGTGGTGGAGGAAGGGGGTGCTCTTTTTTTTTGTGTCCAAAGGATACCCAAAAAATACGTTAAACTAGCGACTACCCGGGCTGGGGTGGAGGGGGTGAAATTATGCACACACAACTGCCACAAAAATGGCGCATGATTTGTTGTGCGCTTTTATGGCAAAAAACAAAATAAACAAAAAGAAAAAGAAATAAAAAAAAAAAAAAAAAAAAAAATAAAAAAATAAAACCCAATCTTGGTGGCAGCCTCTGGGCAACTAGTCGGTAGGGGAATTGCTTAATTACATTGGATTTATTTGTGGCAATCCGTCGCTGAGTAATTGGCATCTCTGCGCTGAAGCCCAGTGAGAGAGCCCTGAGAGCCTTTTGAGAGCCTTTTGAGAGCCTCTTCTCGCATCTCCATCAACATCTCCGCTCGTGGTGCTGTCGCTGGTGCTGTTTGCTGGTGCAACGCCAACGCAAAGAACAAAAGGACAAGGCGGCGGAATGCAACGGTGGGGGGTGGGGGGGGGGAATGGAATCAAAGGCAGCGCGCCGACACAACGACGACGCAACGAAATGTGTCAATTTTAATTGTGGCCGAAGCGGATTTAAGGGAAGACGAGGTCCCGACCTGGACCGGCTCTCGAGAGGCAATTAAATGCATGTCAAAGCGTCCCAGCCATCACACAGTGTGGCTGAGGCAGGAGAAGCAGGGGAGAGCAGAGGCGCAGCTTGGCTCGGCTTGGCTCGTCTCTGTGGCTGGGAGTGGGCCTGGGGACTCGTCTCAACTCCAGAGAGACACAAAGAGAGAGTGATGTGGCGCGGGGTATGCAAAACATGTGCGAATCGAACGTGATAAAAATGTTAAAGGGCTCTCTTCCCCTGCCCTGTCGCTGCCCCAGCACGCTGCAGCAGATGCCAAAATCTAAGCAGGCGAGGGCAGCAGGGCTCTCCCTTGCTCTGTGGCATCAACTGACGTCTCGAATCGCACTTAATAGGCCCTGGGACTGGGACTGGACTCGAGACTTGTCACAGTGCATGGTGACAATTACGCGTGGAGGAGGAGCAGAAGTAGGAGGAGTAGGAGTAGGAGGAGGAGGAGTAGGAGGAACTCCTTCCCAGGGCTTTGTTGAATGCAAATCGCGACACTTCCCACGTCTCTGACATCTGCTTCCGAGGCAGTGGCTGAGTCGTGTTCTTGGCCATTGTCACGTGAGAGACTGCGGCTGCTGCCACAAATCATCTGCAGGCACAAAGGCAGGCGACAAACGCGCACCTCACGACCAGGAACCAGGAACCAGCAACAAGCAACAGGCAACAAGCAACGCGCCTCGTGTAAAACTAGAAGCGTCAAATAGACAAAAGTTTTCCAGGAAAACACTGCCAGAGACGCGCATAAATCTGTGGCCGGGTCAGGGCTGGGTCTGGGCTGGGTCTGAGCTGGGTCTGGGCCGGGTCAGGGCTGGGTCTGGGCTGGTCTGCTGGTCTGATCTGTTACTCACCCTGAAGACCAGGCTGGAGCTGGTGAATGTCGGCCGATTGTCGTTGAGATCGAGCACCTCGACGCGCAGCATTCGCAGCGTCTCTTTGGGCGGCTGGCCGCCATCGGTGGCAGCCACACCCAGCCGATAGATGCTGCGCTCCTCGTGATCGAGGACAACGCGGGTGCGAATGACGCCCGTGGCGGCATCAATGCTGAACAGGCCGTGACCGTCCGAGTCGCGACCCTTCACGATCGAGTAGTTGATGGATGCATTCTGGCCGTGATCACGGTCAGTGGCCCGGATGCGCACCACCTCCGTGCCGGGTGGCTGCTCCTCGCGCACACTGACCACATCCTCCTGGGGATCGGCTATCTCCGGCGCATTGTCGTTCACATCGCTGACGTGCACGCGCACCGGCACACGGGCACTGCGCATGGGCGTGCCCTGGTCGCGCGCCTCCACCACCAGATCGTACAGCGCACGCAGCTCCCGATCGAGCGGCTCCCGCGTCGAGATTTCACCTGCAACACACACACAAAAGAGAGAACAGAAGGAGGTGAGTGTGAGTGTGCTAAATGGGTCGCAGCTGATGATTGATGGTGGCTAGAAACAAGTTCCACTTGCAGCTAATTATTATTGGGACATATTTCGAGATTTTTACACTAGAAATAATCTAAAAAAATGTTGGATAATGTGAGCTTGTGCAGCTATAGAGAATTCTGTGAATTTGCATTAAATACGGGGAATATACAAAAGGAATATGATGTATTTACGATCAAGATTATCAAACGAAACTTTACTTAATGCCTCTTCAAAGTTCCATTACAATCAGACAAAATTAAAATAAAATACAGGGAATATATGTATGATGAAAATGTGCCTCGAAAAAAGTCTTTACTGAAGATATTCCAAGGAAACTTTACACAAAAATACTTAAAAGATTAATAAACTATTTTGCAAAGTTTCAGCATAGCCGGAGGAAATATAAAATAAAATACGACGAATATATGATCAAAAAAGTGGCTCGAAAAAATAACTTAAAAGTTCCCTAAACTATTTTGTTAAGTTTCATCAAAATCAGGGGAATATACGCTGATATATGATGCATATATAATGAGGATAATCCAACAAAACTTTACACAAAAATACCTAAAAGATTAATAAACTATTTTGCATAGTTTCAGCATAATCGGAGGAATAAATAAAATACGACGAATATATGAATCGAAAAAGTGGCTCGAAAAAATAACTTAAAAGTTCCCTAAACTATTCTGTTTAATTTCATCAAAATCGAAGGAATATATGTATGTTGATATATTGAATAAAATAAATATAAAATAAAATACGAGGAATATATGGCCAAAAAGTGACTCGAAAAATATAACGTTTTTCTGAAGATATCCCAACAAAACTTGGCACAAAAATAATTTAAAGTTCCCTAAACTATTCTCTTAAGTTTCATCAAAATCGGGGGAATATGAAATAAAATACGGGAAATATATGTATGATTAAAAAATGCCTCGAAAAAATAAAGTTCTTCTGAAGATACTCCCACAAAAATTGGCATAAAAAATACTTTAAAGTTCCCTTAATTATTCTCTTAAATTTAATCCAAATCGGAGCAAGATATACTGATATATGATGCATATATAATGTATATATATATGACGAAAAATTGCCTCGAAAAAATAACGTTTTTCTGAAGATACTCCAACGAAACTTTACACAAAAATACTTTAAAGTACCCCAAGCAATTCTGCAAAGTTTCATCAAAATCGGAGGACTATATGCTGATATATGCTGCATATATAATGAAGATATACCAACAAAACTTGGCACAAAAATAATTAAAAATACTTTAAAGTTCCCCAAAAAATTCTGCAAAGTTGCATCAAACTCTGACAAATATTTCATAATATTGCAGCATGTGGCACGTGTGTGTGCCTGGTTCCTGTAGCAGCGTTTAGAGGTGTCCTAACTGGGTCGCCGATGATTAATGTGCAAGCGGTAAACCAGTTGAACGGGGAACGAGCAACCAGCAAGGATTAGCTGCACGAGAGATTTCCATATTTAATTTAAATGAGCCACAAAGATCTGCGGTGGCCAGGAGACGGGAGAGAGTCTAGTCTAGTCTCTCTTTCTCTCTCTCTCTCTCGATCTGTTGCGCCCCAAGCGGACACGGACACGGACACGCAGTGGCTGGGGATGTCAACCCAATGATATTCCATTGACGGATGAGCTGACAGCGTTAAAACTGTTGTTGCTCAAACACTAATGGTCATGCGGTACAGGCCGCCGCGCATGCCCGCCCCATGTATCCAGCTACCAATCTCATCTGGAGGCTCCAGCTCCAGCTCCATCCATGCCACATCGCAAGCATCAGCTGCCGCGCCACCATATCGTAAAGAGATCGCATTTTATCGCTTGCACCGATCGTCGTTACGAGAACAGGTTTCCACGGCCAGCCAGCCAGCCAGGGAGCGATGCGCGTTTGATCTATGAGGCAGAGCGACATTCAGGAGAGTGGAGCATGCAGCATGCTGCATGTGGCATGGAGAGCTGCTGTTGCCTTTGAGGAGCAGTAATGAATGACCGTGGGTCATGGCTGGTGGCTTGACAGTTGCCACCGCCACCGCCAGAGCCAGAGCCAGAGCCACCGTCGCACCACATTGAGTGAGTTGTTCGTCGTGGATGCAGGCAGGCAGGCAGGCAGGCAGGCAGCCGCAGCCCCCCCCGATCTCAGCCGTAATTTATGGCCAAAGGAAGACGCAATGCTCACCTGTGACGGGATGCACCTGGAAGCTGCTGTTGGCCGGCAGCAGGCTGTAGCGCACGGCAGCGTTCTCGCCCACATCCAGATCCCTGGCCGCCACCACACCCACAACCGAGCCGCGGCGCAGATTCTCCTCGATGCTGAACTCATACTGGGCGCGCTGGAAGCGCGGATCATTGTCGTTGGCATCCAGCACACGGACCACAACGCGTGTCCTGGCATGGGCCGCCGGTGTGCCATTGTCCGTGGCCAGGATGATGAGCTGGTAGCGATCGCGCGTCTCCCGATCCAGGGGCGCTCTCAAGTAGATCCAGCCAGAGTTGGGAAAGATGCCAAAATGCAGGGCCACATCGGAGGCGGAGGCAGCACCACCCGAAGTGGCTGTGGCTGTGGCATTGTCCGCGCCGGCATCCACAATGCGATACGTAATCCGGGCATTGTTGCCCGTGTCCAGATCTGTGGCATTCACCTGAACGATCTGCAAATGCAAGACAAAAGCCAGTTAGTAGATTCTTAAGGAGGGGCCAACCATCAATCACTCGGCTCTCGGCTCTCGCCGGCTCTCTGGAGGAATGGAATGCCCCAGCCCCAGCCCCAGCCGCATCCGCATCCGCGGACCGAACGAGTTTCCGCGATGCCAAAGATATGGAAGGTGATTTTATGATCTAAAAACTAGTTCCAGGAGTGTGCTGTGGAGTGCTCAAGCTCAAGCTCTCCTGGGTGTTGAGAGATATTTTAAACAAGATATGACTGCGGCCCAAGCGTGACTTTTAGTGGCTGTTAATCAAATTTATGTTGAGCATTTAGTTTGCATTACGCACAAATTTATTCGCCCCCAATAAAGCACGAAAAGCTGCCCCACAGTCCTGGGCCCCTTACCTGAGAGTTTACGGCGCGCGATTCGGACACATTTACGGCGTACTCGTCGCGCTCGAACACGGGCGGATTGTCGTTGACATCCTGCACATCCACCAGAATGGTCAGATTGGTGGCCAGCGGCGGCACGCCACCATCGCTGGCGGTGACAATCAGCGCGTGACGCTGCGCGGTCTCGTAGTCCAGATGCTGCGACAGCACCAGATGCCCCGAGCGCGCATCGATGGCAAAGAGCTGCTGCTGCTTCTCGGGCGACTGTAGGCTGTAGGTCACCTGGCCGCTGCTGCCCGCATCCTTGTCGTGGGCGTGTGCAGCGTAGAGGGGCGTGCCCAGATCGGCATTCTCCGGCACCGAAATGCGCACCAGACTCGCCTCGAACTCCGGCGCATTGTCGTTGACGTCCTCCACCTCGATGTTCACCTGGGTGTGCCCGTAGACGGGCGGCTCGCCCAGCGTCGCCTGGATGTTGAGCAGCACCTGTGCCTTGGCCTCGTGATCCAGCGGACGGGCAATGCGTATGTTGCCGGAGCTGCCCTCGATGCTGAAGTAGCCGTCCGGGTCGCCAGAGTAGATCGAGTAACGCACGGGACTCCGCTGGGCTGTTTGGGGGGCAGAAGAGCAGAAAATAAATATAAAAACACATTCAGCGAATGACTTGGAGGAGTTGATGGAACTTTTTTGGGTGAAATTAGGAGCCGAGCGGCTGCTCATTAAAAGCAATTCAAAGAGCTCCAAACCGAAGCGAGGCGAAGCGAACAAAGGCCTCGCAATGAGTTGCAGGAACAATAGAAGCAGCAGCAGCAGCAACAGCATCGAACAGAAGAGATTGACACATGAGGCAGTGGCAGAGAGCGGCAGGCAGGCAGGTAGGATGAAGAATGGAGCCCCATTGGAATGAAAGGAAGTGCACACGGCACAGGCACAGGCAGAGGCACTGGAACAGGCGAAAGCAGCAGCAAATTAAACCGCAAAATCATTTTGCATAGCCAGCGATCGTCTGTGGCCCCCCCTGGCCCTGCCCCACCTGCCCCACCACATGGGCCCTTGTGTTTCGTGTGGCTTTTTGGGTCTTTTGGTCTTTGGGATTTCGAGGCTCAATGACGAGTTCGAGTTCGAGTCCGTTGATGGGTGCAGATTTCTGCCGAAATTTGCGTTTGAAGTGTTTTGCTTTTGCTTTGTTGCACAAAGAAAGAAAAGACAGAGAGAGACGAGATGGGAGCCCAAAAAGACCTCCACTTGGGTTGCATGTTCCTTGCTTTCTGTGTGTGTGTGTGTGGAAGTTTCTTTTTTAGGATTCATAGCATACTCTTTTTATGGCAGAGCGTATAGGGATTTATGAGCAGAAGGAATTGCAGACAAAAAGATTTTAGATGTGCAAAAATAGAAAATCTCTCCCTAGAGTCCTGCTGTGGACAGTATTTATATTGAAAATATACAGAACTATTATAATATTTATTAATATTATATATTAATTATTAATATTTATATATATTAAAATATATAACTGCCCAAGGTAATCCTAATTGGATTTTTAATATTTCGAACATTTTATATGTGTATAAATAGAATGCAGCTGCCTAGAGCCGTTCTGTGGGTAGTATTTATATGGAAAATATACAGAACTATTATAAAAAACATATCCAAAAACATATAACTGCCCAAGGTAATCCTAATTGGATTTTTGATAGTTCGAACATTTTAAATGTGCATAAATAGAAAATCCGTCCCTAGAGTCCCTGCTGTGGGCAGTATTTATATTGAATATATACAGAACTATTATAAAAATATATACAAAAAAATATAGCCCCCCCAGGTAATCCAATTCAATTTTTGATAGTTCGAAATTCGAAATTCGATTTTGACATTTGTGAAGTTTCATCAAAGTCGGCAGACTATATGTGGAATTATAATGAAAACTTCAGTGAAACGTTGGATAATGCAAGCTTGTATATCTATCAAAAATGCTGTAACGTTGCAGCCAAATCGGCGGACTATATGTTGAAATATGATGAATATACGATGAAAATGTGCCTCGAAAAAAATGTTTTTCTGCATTTAATTCTATGAAACTTTAGACAGAGCTACACCAAGGGGTTTTACAGCAATTACAGAGGTTTCATGCAAATCGGACTGCTATATTTAAGATATATAAATCCCGGAAATCTCTCAAAAACCCCGCTCCTTTATTTCTGCCAGGGTATTTCCACATTCGGTGGCTCTTTTTTTTTGGGGTGACTTTACAAATTTTATTTTAATTCTTGCGTCCGCCGCTGTGTCCGTTAGTGCCGCGTCCGTCCGTCTGTGTGTCCATCATATGCGCATATTTTGGTTTCCAGCTCACTGAACTAATGAATGCGTTCCACAGGCAAGAAGAGCCAAAGAATCCACGAATCACAGAGGAAGGAGAAGGAGCAGGGAGGGGGAGGGGGCTATGGGTAAAGCACTCACCAGTATCGCCGCTTGTGGCTATCACAGAGCCGACAACGGTGCCGCGCGGAATATCCTCCTTGACGTAGTAGTTGTAGCGGGCCTTCTCGAAAATCGGCGGCCGTTGCTGGGCATCGATGATGCTGAGAAAGACGACGGCATCGTGGCTGGTGCGCAGACCGCCGCCGTCGGTGGCCGAGATGTTGAGCATGTGCATCGGCTGGGTGCGCACGGACAGCGAGTCCGGCCGCGTCACGAATATCTCCCCAGAGGAGCGATCGATGCGAAAGATGCCCGCCTCATTGCCCGCCACAATGCGGTACGACACCTGGCCAAAGCTGCCCGAATCCGCATCGGTGGCCACCACCGCCACCACGGGTATGCTCACAGCTGCCGCTGCCGCTGCGGCTGCGGCTGCGGCCGGGGCAGCCTGTGTCGTCGGCGGCGACTCCTTCAGCGAGACATTGTACTCGCGCGGATAGAACACCGGCCGATTGTCGTTGACGTCCGTCAGCTGCATCTTGATCATGGCCGTGGTGCTGAGGCCGCCACGATCGGTGGCCAGCACGGGAAACTCGTAGCTGCTGCGCCGCTCAAAGTCCAGCTCGCCGGCAATGCAAATCTCGCCGGAGGCGGAGCGCACCTCGAACTCCGTCAGGTGCTTGAAGCCCTCGCCCAGCGTGTAGTTGACCATGGCATTTACACCGCAGTCCGGATCACTGGCAGAGACCTGAAAAGGGGGAGAGAAGGGATAGTTTTTGATTAGGAATAAGTTGGAATAAGTTTAATAAATTTAATTAAATTTTTAATGCGCTAAAACTAGGCTGGGAAAAAGAGAATATAGTGGGCCCGAAGCTGTAGAGCTGCCCACCACTTGAGTACGCAATTTTTGCCATCTTCACTTAAGGAACAGAGCCACCTCTCTCCCTGTCCCACCCTCCCTCGCTCACTCTTTTCCACCCTCCCTCTCCCACTCTCTCTCTCTCTCTGCCAATTACAAATGAAGTTGTCAAAAATTTAAATTTGATTTACAGCCAGCGCCTCGTTCTCGTACGGATTTATCTGCGCCTCCGCCTGCGCCTCCGCTTCTGGCTCTGGGTCTCCTCTGATTTTTTTTTGGAGCTTAATTTGGCAATTTGTTATGCTCGGGGGGCCCCCAGGCGGATCATCATGAATCGGATCGGGCGTATCGGGCGATGTGTCAACTTAAGTTTGCGGTTGGGTCAGAGGACTCTCCACTCCAGCAGCCGACTACCGGCACAGCCGAGGCGACTCCCGCTACCGGAATGAATCACAGATATTGGGCCTTAAAGGGGCCACAGAGAGGGTTCGGTTCGGTTGGGAGCATTGACCCCTTTTAATGGCTGCCAATTAGTTGGCATTTTGCGTAATCGACATTTGCATTCTGTTGGCCTGTCTTCGAGTGGAGAGACGAGACAAGAGAGAGAGAGAGAGAGAGGAGAGAGAGAGAGAGTGGAGTCGAGTGGAGTTGCCCCTATAAATAGCCTGAAGAGCGGGGGCCATCGTTGGATTTTGACGCCAACGAACAAGCGAACCAGCAAATCAGCAATTAAAACTGTCATTATTTCACTTTAAATAGGCAAACAGCCACAGAGGTAGGAGGTAAGGAGGCAGCAGGCAGGAGGCAGCAGGCAGCAGGCAGGAGGCAGGAGGAGGCAGCAGGCAGGAGGCAGCAGGCAGCAGGCAGTAGACTGCAACCAGGACTGGAACACAGAGTGATTCCCTTTCGATTCGATTTGGTTCGGGGGCTCCACTCTGATATGCATTTAAAGCGAAACGTGTATGCCCGTATCCCTCTGTGGCACGTTGCACGTTGCATTTCCAGCGCTAATTACACTTTTTGTAAAGCCAAAAGGCAGCATAGCAGCCTCCGGTACGACTGGGGCTGGGACTGGGACTGGGGCTGCTGTCTGGGCGAAGAGCTCTGTAGATCTGCTTAGATTGTTGCTGGCTCCTGCGACTAAAGACTTTCATTAAGCTTAGAGTTTGCTGGCTGCTGCTGGCTGTTGGCTGCTGTTAAACTCGTTTAACCCGCGAGTGAAATTGTCGCCAAAGATGGTCCAAGGGAAGCTGCAGGACTGCAGGAGGCGGTCGCTTGAGGATGTCGTCAGCACAAACAGATTGGCAATTTTATCTGTCAACAGCATGGAAGGTTCTGCTGCAAAAAGCAAGAGATGCCAACAGGGCACTAAATGAATGCAACGCCCACACGAAGTGGGGAGACCCAAAACCCGAAATGGGCAGGGATTGGCAGGGTTTGGGAGGGTTTGGGGGGTGTACGTACTCCTCAAGGCGTTGTCGTGGCTGATAAACAGCAGAGCAGCAGCAGCTGCTGCCAGTGAAAGGCAAATCCCAGTGACATCTACCAAAAGGGAAGCCCAAAAAAAAATAAAAATAAAAATAAAAAGCCAAACAATTCCAAAGTTCGTTGCTTGCAGAAGTCTTTCGAGTTGGCCAGAGCCCCCTGAAGAGCCATCTCGAGTTATTCATCTTTGTCAGCACGCATTTCTCACACTCTCACACTCTCTTTCGGGGGCCCCAGAGTCGCTGCGGTTCGCCAGAGCATTCAATGACCAATTATGGGGGCTAACAAGCTGCCAGCTCTACCAGCCCCTTCTTCCAGCCACTGAGAATATGTTCTTGGAGATACTTCTGTGGTGCTGCTGCTGCTGCTGTGCTTCGGCTGCTGCTGCTGCTTCTTTTGCTGTTGATGTATGCAAATAAGCTGTCAAAAGTAATTTCATTCAATTACCTTATTTAACGTACAGAAAATAAACCCAAAAAAGAACTGGGTGTGGAGTGGAGAGCAGGGCGCGGTGCGGTGGGGAGACAATGCCAGAGAGAGGCTGATGAAGATGATTGCCACAAGAGAGAACGTTCCATGCAGCAGCAGCAGCAGCAGCCATGGCCATGGCCATGCGGATGTTTGCGGTTAAAGTTTGATTAACACTTGTGCAGCAGAGCAGGGAGAAGGAGCGATGGGGGACCGTTGGGGGGCTAATAGAAGTTGGCCAAAATGTCGGTCGTGTCTCTGCTGCCAGGGGATTATCAGAGCCAAGTGAGAGAATGAGAGGCTGAGAGGCTGAGAGGCCGTGGACGAGACCGCCGCAGCAAACACTCTGATAAGACGACGAACCCCAAACGAGAGACGAGACGTTCGCAGGCCATCGCAGCATGCAGCATGCGGCGGCATGTGGCAAGCGGCTCTCATACTCATACTCGTACTGGTACTGGTACTCGTACTCGTATTTTTATGCAATTTCCGGCAGATGTGGATGATTTAGACCTGGCCGCAGCCGAGGCTATGAGAAATGGCTACGTGCCGCCGAGAGCCGCTGAGGCTTTAGTCGAATTTGGAGGCCTCTTAGCACACGACTCAATCCCCCATCAATCCAACCATTCGATGAATGCCAATGCGAATGCGAAATCGAATGCCAGAGCTTGCTGCCGAAACGAAAGAAAGTGTTGCATGTACATCATGTGGGGGCGTCGCTGTGGTCGGTGCAGAAAGCGTGAAATTGTTTGCGGTCTCTACACTTTCCAGTAGTAATCTCCTGCCTGACTCCCTGCCTCCCTGCCTCGCTCCCTTTATTGGGTATCGAATTAGTTATAAAGACATTTACGCTCTGGCATTACCTTTGGGTTAACGAAATGGGGGGCTGCGGCTGTGGCAGGGACTGTGGTATGGGGCAGTCTCTTGCTTTTGCGGCGTGTGAAGATTTCACACCTTTGCGGCGTTGATTAGTCACGGGTTCTCGTCTGTCTCTCTCTCTCTCTATATATACCGCTGCGGCCCCTGCTTCTCCTACTTGCAGGAGAACCACCTGATTTATGTTGACGCCTTATCAGGGCCCCTCAATATTTATTGCAATTTTTATAAATTATTTTACTGAAAGATCCACAGAGCACACACAAGATTTAGAGCTATGAGAGTAGATCAGTGTGTGTGTGTGTGTGTGTGTGTGTGTGTGTGAAAGAGGGAGAAAAAACTAGGGAAGAGAGAGAAGAGTGGAACAGGGGAACATGGCAAGAACAAGGGAGAAAGGCATAGAAATGAGTGCATGGACAATACTCTTTTTACTCATTTTAGATGAAGTTTCTGACACGACTAGGAGTTTCTTTTCTTTCTTTATTTTATATGGAAAATAAGACGAATAGGTAGAAAAATAAATAGTATTCATTTATAGGTTTGCTGTGTCTAGGCCCCATATAAATATATATATATATATATATATATAATATATATAATATAATATAATATAATATAATATAATATAATATAATATAATATAATATATATAATATATATATATATATATATAATATAATATAATATAATATAATATAATATAATATAATATAATATAATATAATATAATATAATATAATATAATATAATATAATATAATATAATATAATATAATATAATATAATATAATATAATAAAAAATATAAAACTAAGTGGAATATATTATATTTAATATTATATTATCATATATGGTATTATATTATATTATCATATATGGTATTATATTATATTATTAATTAATTAATTATAATAATTAATTAATAATAATATATAATATTTAGAATAATATAATATATTCCACTTAGTTTTTCTTATGTATTGCGGCTCAGGCAACTTATTTTCTTCAGTTTTACTCAAATGTTTATTAGATTTTCATGGGAATTACAAAAATATATAGAAATTATAACTATAACTATATACTATAATTATAACTATCCAAAGCTCAGCTTGGTCTCAGCTTAATTTTTGAACTTTCAATTATTTGGGATCATATATATAGTAAATCGTGGTATTATCTAAGAGACTCTCTGATAAGTTTCATTCCCGTAGTTTGAAAATTGTTGCTGCCACAAGGGGAAAGTAGAATGCCAAAGAGAGATAGATAGAGTGAGAGAGAGAGCGGTGAGGGATACTTTAGCAGAAAGATCTATTTCTGTTTGGTTGTTCGCTTACTCCTGCTGTTGGCCGTGGCATCGTCAAAACACCAAAAAGCAATTCTAACAGTTGTTGCACGGCTGCACCAGGCAGCACCAGGCAGCACCATTTGTAGCAGCAGCAACCATTACGACTACGACTATAGGAGATGGGATAGAACACAGTGCAGCCCAGGCACCAGGCAGCAGGCACCACCGACCGCTGTGCCGCTTGTCGTGTTATTAAGAATTTTTAATTTTCCGGTATAGATTTCTGACTTGTTCGGGTCTATGCACCGCACCGCACCGCTCGTGCTCAGTGCTCAGTGCTCTCTTCAGAGTTCTTTCTACAGCCACAGCCCCACTTGGAGTCAGAGTCTGGGTCTGGGACTGAGTCTCAGTCTCAGTCTCAGACTTTGACTGGGGACTGCATCATCAAAATGCATCTAACAAGGTTGTTAGGTGTTAAATAAGTGTGCTTAAAAATTTATCTTGTACATTTTCCTTCATTTGATTTATGTTTGCTTCTCCGCTTCGTCTGTGGCACTCTCTGTGGCACTGGCCTCAGTCTCAGTCTCAGTCTCTGGCTGCCTCCTAGCCTGCCACTTGTGGCGGCTCTTTTTTTTTTTTTGCAGCTGTCTTCTTAGCCAATGCCCATTACCTCCTCCTGCTGCCTGCCTCCTGCCAACCCCATGTGCCCACCCCTTGGTTACGGTTACGTTTTTTACGTTTACGGTTCAACTTTTGAGGCAATCGCTCGCTCGCACG